TACATCAATTCGGTTAACTAAATCATGGACAATTTTTTTCAAACCGAACTGGTCCTACTGGTTTTTGACCGTTCGGTTCTTCAACTTTTTGATTTTTTATATTTATAATATATTATATAAATATATGTATAATATTATATTAGAAATAATAAATGACATATAATATTATAATATTATAAAAATATATAATATATAATATATTTATAAATAGATTATTATAAATATAATATATATATATATATATTTATATACAATGCACATATGTTTATATATTATATAGAAAATATGTGACATATATTAAAATATATATAAAATATACATATAAATATATATACCGGTCGATTTGATTAACCACTGATTTTTTTTAGGTTAATTGAAAAAAACTGAATTGATCTTTCAATTTTTCCAAAATATCAAACCAAAACCAAACTGACCGTATTTTTTGATTCAGTTTTTCGATTTTTTATACACACCCCTAATTGCCATTCCTAATTGTCCTAGAAAATAAGTTTCAAGGAATTACATAATTAAGCAGGATTACGATACACAGTTTATAACTTAGGCAACCGGGTTAATGATCTTGTAGTCTTGTAGTAAGGGGTGCAACTTGGGCCGGTTGGATTGGGTTGAGATTATTGGTAAGAGTTCAACTTGCTGACCCAATTCAAGCACATAATTGTCCGGCCCGAGCTTTTGCAAAGATTGGGTTGTAATTTTTGGGGTGGGGAATGAGCGTAACCTGAAAATTTGTACCCATTAAAGGTAGCCCATTTGCATTACCCATAACCCGTAACTCAGATGAGAGTAGGATTTGATCCCAAATCTCTACTACAACCAACTAGAGACCTTACTAACTGAACCAATAAGCATCGTCCAATATTATCCAATGTTGGTCTTAATTACATGTGATTTTGGGAGGGGTGAACTTGATATAAACCTAACTCTTGGCTTTGTTTTGGATACAAAATGATCATTTTCAGATTTAAACCCACGATACAACAAACATCATTATGCATCCGATGTATATAAAATGCATGTTATATTTAAAAACTATACATATTTATGTACACTTATTGTTTACATATATATAGAGGAAACTTTTGAATTGAAAATTATAAAATTTGGATGCCAATTATTGATGAATTCAGATTTGGTGTGAAGATAAGTGCAGGAATCTAAATCATGATATAGACCCATGTGTATAGAATGTGATCCATTACTTAGTTAGGTTCGCTCATTTGTGTTCGTAGAAGACATAGTAATAAGGTGAATAATACGGGGCTTCTGTAGACAACAAGAATATGGTGATAAGGCATATTAAGACTAGTGAGAGACTTTACATGGTCATTTGATGGATGGGTTATTTAGTGGAATATGAACAACGCCTATATCATCCACATATAATAAATTCTAAAAGGGCCCTAGTAACACTTTATAGTCAACATTCATGGCACAAATTCCATATTAACACCACTATCTTTTGTTTAATTTAAAACATTTGGATCCACATACTAAGTGGGCCCAAATGGGCCCCACAGTTCCTCTGTGACGGACAAATTCCATTTCATCACCACTATCTTTTGTTTTTTTTTTCCTCTTTAATTTAGAACGCCTGAATCCACACAGACACAGTATTAACAAGGTTTTGGGCCCTCGTTTTGGCCCAAAAGGGCCCCATATATTCTTCTGTTACCAGTCCATTCCTTGGACAAATTCCACCTTAGCACCTAGACCTGTTGATGGGTCGGGCCGGACTTTTTATTCTTTATAAATATGATTTTGTTAGGCCTGAGTCCGAGCCCGGCCCGACCAACGGGCCTATAACATAGGCCCGAGCCTGGTCCTAATAAAAAGTCTAAAGCCCGACCTAACAGAAGAAAGAATTCACCATCAGTGAATGTGTCCGCCAGTGCTGAGTTCGCATCAGAGAGAGAGAGAGAGAGAGAGTGGATGCACCAGCCGGTGCTTAGTTTGTAGTGAGATGCAATTTTGATAGTGAAAAGAGGAGTCAGCTTGCGTCCAAGAGAGAGAGAGAGAGAGGACTCACTGCTGCCGCCGCCGGTGCTTGTGTTTGCCGCCTTGCTGGTGTCTGAGATTTGAAAGAGAAGAAGTGAGTAGAGGAATGAGAGAGAGAGAGAGAGAGAAGACTCACCGCTGATCTGACAGAGTTGTTGTGCCGGTGAATGCGGCTACTTGAGAGTGTGAGGAGGATGTGAAGAGAAGAGAGGTTCGGCACTAGGCAGTTTGGTTAATAGGAAATGTGGAAAGAGATGAATAAGAAGGGTTACGATATTAGGGTTTTTGGGTTTAGTCTATAGATCGGACCGGGCTATTTTGGCAAATCCCGAGCCCGGCTCGAATTTATTATGGGCCGAGCTTTTTGGCCCAAAGTCAAGCTCGTGGGCTCATTTATGTGTTCAAGCCTGTCCGGGGGCCGGGCCAGGCCAGGCCGACCCATCGGGCCACCCGATCCATGAACAGGTCTATTAGCACCATTGGCAATACGGCTAAAGTATGCCAATTCTTTTTTATTCTTTTATATTTTCGTTGAGCAAATAAATATACAATTGAGATAATAAAAGCAGAAATATGTACAGACACGAGGGACATCAAACCACAGTTCCTGTTCAACAAAACGAGAACCATAAATAGCTTAAGTAGCCATCAGATGAGCAGGCTTATTAGCCTCTCCCGACCTCAAAATAAGCATCCTAAAGGAACATAATTTCCAGATGGTCCAGAACTACAGAGATGTACAGCTTATTAGAATCTGATTCCACTTGTACAGCTCTCAAATTCCTTTCTTTAGCAAAATAAAGAGCTTTTCAAATGACATGTAACTCAGCTTTCACATGCTAATACGGTTTTGGTCTTGGTCTGGAAAGGGCCCCATCATCTTAGCACCATCAACCATTGGGCTAAAGTAAGCTATCCTTTGTTTTTTTCTTTGGGCTAAGTTTGGTTGCAGTGCAAATAAATGTAAAATAATGGGGTGCAAATAATTTGTGTGTAAATTTAGGTATAAATTTGCTTTACATTTGACTGTCTTATTTGTTTGTGAGAAGTGAAATGATATGATCCCATATATGCAAAGATGTAGGAGGGTTATTTATTTGAGAGTGAAGTAGGAACTAGGAAGCTAGATAATGTGGTCCTCAATTTATGCTGGAAGTTCTCTAGACGGTTTATTTGTGACAAGTGACTGTCCAAAATTTGATCAATGAAGATGGGTTGGGTATAGAAAATCTCTTTCTCTCTCTCGCACACAACGGAAATTGAATACAAGGAAATCATCCAACTGCCACCACTTCCCTCATTACAAGGGTTAGGGTTTTTCTTTGTTCCTACCATGGTTGGATGAAAATGTGGAATCACCTCTTGATTTTCATATTTAATCCAAACCCTCAATTCCTAAACATTAACCTTAAACCCTAAACCCTAAATAGGGCTGTTAATAGGTCGGGTCTGGTTTAGGACAAAGTGTACTAGTCCTCAATCAATTATTAATTGAAACAAAATCATAGACTTAGAATTGTCCTGATTATTAATCAAGATAATCAGGTCAGAACTGATTATATTGACATCTATAATTATCTATGTCAATAATAACTTAGAACTTCATATATAATATAACCAACCTTAATAACAATGACATATAATAGTAAATTCTTTATATGTTAATAAATTATGTGTTTTCAACCAAAGTTATCTTATATTGTATTTGTCAAATTTACTCTTTCAGACATTAAATATAATAAAATTACAAGAAAAACTAGGAAATCTTTATATATTATTAACTCAATAATCAGTTTGAAACAGACAAAAACCAGAATGATCCAATTATTAATGAGAGAAAATCATAGAACCAGAACCGATATAATCAGTTTGGTTTGATTGGGTGGAACTGACCAATTGACATTAAATATACTAAAATTACAAGAAAAACTAGGAAATCTTTATATATTATTAACTCAATAATCAGTTTGGAACAGACAAAAACCAGAATGATCCAATTATTAATCGAGAGAAAATCATAGAACCAGAACCGATATAATCTGTTTGGTTTGATTGGGTGGAACTGACCAATTGACAGCTTTAACCCTAAAGTCATAAACCCCTAAACCCTAAAACCCTAAAACCCTAAGCCCTAAACCTGAACTCTAAAAATTAATGAGTAAAATGCATTTGGTCGAATGCATGTCCTTGGAGTACTCCAAACCCCTAAACCTTAACCTCAAATTAATCCTAAAAAAGAGTACTAGCTTATTTTTCCCATAACCAGGGTGTAGACCCTTTACTAAAAATGAATCTGCCTGAATCATCCCCCTTTCATTAAGCTATCAAAATTAAAAACTAATCAGATGATTAATTAATTCAAGATTATCTAATATTTGCTGGTTTTGGTGTAAGCAGCTGATCAGCTGGCAAAATGAATTCATTTCAATTAGAGTTTCCAATCATCTTAACGGGAAACATGAAGGTGTTGAGAAAGCTAGGGTACTTCTCTCAGCTCTTATGATGAGGACACACCCTCATTATAACTGTTCCTTCCAAAGAAAAATCTAAAATAAAGAACAAAAGGCTGGTGCTACAAGCTTTAAACACGAACCTGCTTCTACTACTCTATCAATCAAAAGACCTTGCGAGTGTCTATCATACTAAATTAATCTTCCACAGTTCCTTTTCTGCTTTTGCAGTATGCTAAGCAGATCGATCCCACATTTTGTTAATAAAATTAATATATAACAAGCACCCTTTAGCATTTCAAAGCCAGAAAACCAGAAGTTACAATTTAACAAACCACATGGGATTGAGCATGATATATCCATGAACAAAGTTTTCTTTAGAAATCAATTCATTCACGTGAAAACAAGAAAATCCCAAGCTAGAAAATGCAAAAACATATCTAGTAAACTTGAAACAACAAAGCAGTTATAACCCGGATTTGTCAGCATGAGTTATCAATCTTAAGGTAGTAGCTAGAGTAGAGCCACAGTGAATCACTCCTCTTCAATTGTAGTGTTTACATTGAAGATACGAGGACAGCTATAGACTGAACAGAAAGCTTGTAAGGTCATCAACAGCAAGAGCATAAGAGCTGCCAGAAGTGTGAGGAGTTGCCATGAACCAAACACATAAGCCTTCAAAAACTTCTTAGCTTTAACCTTCCACCTACTACCGTAATACTTGTTTACATCTTCAATCACCTTATCGAAGAGCTCAACTTTCGTTAACTTGACAGACTTACTCATCCCATTCCACAGGTTTGCCACCTCTTCGTCACTCTTCAACCGGTTCAAAATAATACCTCTTTCTCTGAGCAGCTCTGCATCCTCCTTAGTGTCTATAATACCAGTCATTAACTCGGTGTACCGAGTAAAAATCAATGGCCCTGATGCCGCTGAAGTCTCATACGCTACTAAATTTCTTAATACTACTTCTGTGTTAACGTCCAAACTAATTTTAGGGAGATGAAATGTAACTCTCTTCACATCGAAACTGATGGTTGTGATGTCGCCATTGGTGGGGGAGAATCGGACTCCACACTTGTGAAGCTCAGTAACAGAGGGGATTGTGATCTCCTCTATCAATGGAGGTCTGTCGACACTGTTCGTCGAGCTTGAATCATCATCTTCGGGGTTTCCATCTCCATCACCTTGAGAGAAGAGCTCAGCAGGTTGTTTCAAGATGGCAAATCCAGGAAGACGAGAGAGGATCTCCCATGGGAGTTGTAGCACTACCTTAACAGGTTTTGAAGCTAGAACTTTCGTGACGGAATGCATCGGGCCTTTGTTTACGTTGGAGAGCATCTTCCAAATGAACTCCAGTACTTGTTTTACAGGACCACAATTCTTGAACGTTTCCTCTTTCCTCCCGTCGCCGGCCGGATTATTGCTCCCTTCATCACCATCAACTACTTCATCGATTTCAGAATGCTGTTCCTTATTCAACCTGGGCACAATCGTGGAGTACAGAAAATCTAACAAGTGATGAAAGTGTTCAGAGAAAGAGACACGCTTTCGTGTTCGTTGGAAGTTGTGTATCATCTTAAGCGGGGAGAGCTCCTTGCACAGATCCATTAAGATGGAATATAGAACATCGTCAGCATCAATCTCTGGCGATAAGCACTGGTAGTCCAGGATCTTCTTCAGGAGGAACAATGGAATTTGGTTCTCAAGCATCACTATGTCTCTAAGAATCGGATTGTAGTCCGACTTCGTTCTGGCATAATCAATGAAGTAAGCCATCCCAGATGAAACTTTGGTTAGGTTCCTACTACCTTTTCTGACGGCATTAATATGAAGGAATTCAAGCAAGAAGGAAGCATCGACAGCCATCATCCAGGCTAGTGTTTCACGGTCGAAATCAAGGTATTTATGGTAGGAAGAGCGGATCCTTGGCTCCTGCTTCTTAAACTCCTCGACGAGCTCTTCAAACCCGATGCTGTGTAGCTGTTTATGGGTTGTTCGAACTGCGGCATGCTTGTATCTCACCATCTCGTAGAGCTCCGGCCGCCGGTAATGGTAGGGGCCTAGCGTCACATGTTGGGGAATGTAGGAATCAGGCTTGGTAGATTTCAGGGTTTTGGGGACAATGAAGATGGAGGCATGATCGTCCTCGGGCTCTTTCTTGAGCATATGACGAATTATCATGATCCATTCTGCGTTTGAGTTCGAATTCGAGCGGATGGGATTTTCGGGTGATGATGTTGGTGAGGATGTGGAGGACATATTTGTTTTCTGGAAATGGCTTGGGGGTTTGATTGACGGTTTTGTGTGGAGTTGCAGGAGTTGTGGGATGTGGGAGGGAGGTTGAGTTAAGGCTAGCTTTTGTGGTTGTCACCTGATAGAGTGATATTTATAAATGTATAATTCAATGGAAACCGTCCCTTGGGCATTAATGTTGCAAAATATCCTTGGGCAATCAAGTCATTTGCATAAAATTTCTTCACCGTCCGATCATGCTGATTTCATGGGCTGGTTTTAATCAGTGTTTTTCAAACGTCATTGATCCAAACGGTCAGACCATTTGACTGAAACCATCCAAGCAATGGATTCAGTTTTGTTTTAATTTGAAACAAGACATCTATTCGAACCGGATGATGAAACCGTTAACCCAAAAACTGATGGCCAAATAATTCCGGTCTTGCGTCTGTTTTTAAAACATTAATTTAAAGTGGGCCCTTCTCTCTCTCTACATCACAAAAGTTTACAAGTAGAACTGTAGAAGCAAAAAATGGAATGGATGGCGCCCAAAAGCTCAGAGGGTGATGTTTATCTCCAAGAAGCTGAGGGTCGTATATACTTTTTTGCTTGAACCAGAAGGGGGCGGGCTTGGGGCTTGGGCATAGCCAGGGCCATGGACGTAATTATCGTCCAACTTACGTGCCTTATTAACTAATGATGCATAACGATGCAACGTGATTCTGCTTGAACTCCTAAAGCAGGGAGATTGGTGATGCGACAGAGCTTATGGGCTATGGCTCAAGAGTGCGATTATGTACTGGGGGAAAACTTGGCTTTCTGGAAAGAGTGGTTGCAGACAAAATTCTTTTTAATCAAGAAGAGATGACAAGCGAGCAGTGGTGGATCCAGGAATTTTCTTTTGGGGGCTTTTTTTTTGGTTTATGGAAACGGAAAAATTATATTAAGTTAATTACATTATAAAGATTCATAATAAATAATAGTAGGGGTGAGAGTAAGTTAATTCTAAATGTAATTGACTTATTTTTCACATTATGTGCCTTCTTTGAAAGGACAAGAAAATGATGTGATAAGACTTGAAGAGAAAGAGGGCAAGACTTCAATTCAGCTCTCCACTTCATCATCGGGAGATGTTTTCAATACATCCACAGTGAGAATGTGTTGTAAGACTTTGTAGGAGAGTTATCTTGTGGGGGCAGATTTGATCTCAAAGGGCAAGAGGTTTTTGGACTATTGTGGCCTAAAGAAAAATAAATATATATATTTTTTTTAATTTTGGGCGTGGAGGGACATTAGAGAGTTAGAGAGCGGTCCTTAACATTTTATTAGAACTTCCAATTTTTGAGGAGGCCGAGGACCAACTTTATTACCGTATATCGCTGACTCGCTGCTTCTAATACTTGGCTCCGGCCGGGCCTCCGCCCCTGTAAGCAAGGGACTGAAGGACCGTTTGATATCTGCTGAAGAAACTTATCTGAATTGGTGATAGTTGATCAGCGGATGATGAATGCTGATAAGCTGAAGTTGAACTACAGCTGAAACAACTACTAAATGCATTAAAGCTGCATTTGGCATACTTTTTTTTAAGAACTTTTCTCTTTCTTACTGTTAAAACGCCCCTATGAACATTGAGTTTTTAACTGCAAAAAAGGAGAGAAGTCCTTAAAATAAGGAATGCTAAAAACAATTTAACAAATTTACCCTGAAATCAAGAAGAGAAACACAAAGTTATAATCATCACCCATTATAAAACAGATTTGGGTTCTGGATTCTCAGAAAAAAAATCAAATAGAAAAGGCTAATGGACAATGTGTATATAAGCCAACAAGCTAAAAACTTCAAAACTAATTAAGGGTGTCAATCGACCGGTTTTGGATTGGACCCCGTATACTCCAAAATCAATTTGGATGGATTAGATGGACCAATGAGGCATATTGGATTGGATCAATCCAGTCCAAAATATTTATTAGATTGGATTAGACTTGGTCTGTCTGTAATAAATTTATATTGGATTGGATTGGATTAAGCGAATATCTGTTCCATTGATATAAAAAGAGAATATAGATGTTAATGGATTGAATTTGGGTTAAAACCAATCTAAATCAAAACAACTTTGAACAGATTGGACGGTCTAACATTGAATTGGACCGATCCAAAATGATCTAAAATATTCATTGGACTGTATTAGACTTAGTCCATTTATAATGGACTCACACTAGATTGGATTTAATTGGACCAAATCCAGTCTAATTGACACCCCTATTCAAAACAAATAAAAGCAAGATATGAATTCTAACATGCAAAATATCATGCTTAGGTTGGGAATGATGCTTTCACCGAATAAAAGAAAAGGAATAAAAAAAGTTATGACTGATGTATTCACTTTTCTTGGTGTTCCAATACCCACCAGCAATAATATTAACATGATTCTTCAAGAATCTTTGGATGGAATTAGGAAAATCTCCAATTCCAAAAGAAAAAAAAAAGATGATGGAAATGTCCGTCTCTTCATTAAAAAAAAAAAAAATCAAAAATCGTAACACCACAGAGACAAATTCCAAGATAAAATGGCTTCTTCAAAAACCTTAAAACTATGGTTTTCAAAATCGGGCTGGATCAGATGGTAGAACTGGAAAATCGAGAATGATCAGGTGGTTGGTTCCGTTTTGCCCCAGAACTGTTATTTCCCCAAAAAATGTTGATTTGGTTAGCAATTTGCTGACTTGGGCAGTCAACTATTCAAACTGTTCAACAGTTTGGCCGGTTTTTATTTTTAATTTTTTGTCAGAATGGGCTATCTATTCGATTTGAATGGTCAATCCATTCGACCCAGGAACTGGACCCTAACCGATTCGTTGTCTGATTCGATTTTAAAAGCCTTACTTAAAACAAAAAGGAGAAACGATGAGAACATGATTCTACACCCCTTTCTCAACCAAGAGGAGGTAGCAAAGCAGAGTAAAAGGGGAGGACTCTACCTGGTTTGTCTGGCCAATTTCAACCTCATAGTCCAGCAATCCTGTTCCAAACCTAATCTGAGAAGAGAGGATGATTCAAATGAACCCTTTTGGTCTCGGGCATTGTTTGTCATATTAAAAAAAATACGTGGGTATAAGAGTCACGTAATGACTTATTAATTCAGTTTTAGGTGGTGTTTTGTACCATTGCGGATTTCTTAGAAATTGTCACCATATTGGAGCCACATCAACTACTCACCAAAATTGGTTGAATCTGTTGTTTGGTTGACTAATGCCTGAAAAATCAGAAAAAATCACTTCTAAATCGATTATGCAAATAATTGGGCCTATTTTCATGCTGATTTATTTATTTATTTTTGTTTGGATGACATACCATCTAATGTTGCAACAATAAAAAAATACCATTGCCGATTTGTCAGAAATGGACTCACGTGGCAGCAAAACAAATAAATATTACCGATTTCTAAAATATCAGTGATTTCTGAAATCAGCAATGGTGTCAAACATGGTTTTTAAAACTGAACCGGTGATCAAACCGGTTAGGGGTCTGGTTATCGATTCGAACAGTCCGACCGTTTGACCTGAATGACCAGTCCAATCTGACAAAAATTAAAAAAAATTAAAAATTTTGAAAAACAGTCAAAACCGTTCAAACGATTAATTGACCAATTCAACGATTTACTGACCAAAATCAACGATTTTGAGAGAAAAAATGAGTTTGAGAAAAAACAGAACCAGTTCCCAATTTTTCCGGTCCAACCATCCAATCCGGTCCAGTTTTGAAAACCATCATAGCAAACACTTATCAGCTTTTAAGTAGGTTCTAGTCTCATTGCTTATGGACCTTTTACAGCGTGTTTCATGCTTGAACGACACAACAAAAAATGGACTTGTAATGGAATCTTATAAGCAAAAGTCTATAAGCCACACCTACGACAATTATCTAACGGTCCCCAAGTGAGGTACGTGTCATGTGCAAGAAAAACTTACAAACACTAACGCTGTAAATGGTATTCATTTGTCCGAATTCAAATTCGAATTTAATCCCATTAAGGGTGATCCAAATTCAGTCTGTTTATAATTGGATCGAATGCGGATATACACCTATCCGATTTGATAAAATTTAGATTTAATTAAATTTAAGTATGTATAAGTATATTGTATCTATTCCTAAAGTTGGTTTGAACATTGTGTTTTTACTAAAGTGTCATAGGTTCAAGTTTGATATATATTATTTTTGAATCATTTTTATTCATGAAATACAATATTAAAGTTACTTTTAGTTCACTTTATTTATAATATATGATATTTTGATAATTTTTAGTTTTATTTATTAATAGCATTCAATACTGGTTGCAATCAGCACTCGATTTGAATTTAATGGATATGATCCAATTCAAATTCGAATATAAACAAACCAAAATTGGATCTACCTATATCTGATTCCATTCAATCTATTTTCAGTCCTACTAAGGCTGTTTTCCCCCAATAACCAATGTTTCTCCATCTATTGGCCCGCATTCCAGATACCCCGAACTCTCTTTAAGAAATGGGTTGGTTGTGAAATAATCTTTTCGGGGTCAGTCTACTATTTAAGGCTCAGTTTGAAAGAAGTATAAATACAAATATGTACAATACAAATACATACAAAATAATATAAGATACAAGGTTTTACGCTCTACATATTTGTATTTATACTCCTTCCAAACTGAGTCTAAGTGTCAGGTTCTGTGGTAAATAAGTTGGACTGAATCTGAACTTGTTTTCTGTATAGGGGGGCCATGATTTGAGCACGTTCTGTCAAATGCACTCAAATAACTTGGTTTAGTAGATTTGGGCTTGTCCTGAAAAGCCTTGAACTCAATTACCCTGTTCTTAATTAAGCATCTTGTTCAAAAAATATTTAAATTCTTTCATGCATCCAAATGGGTATTGGGAAAATGAAAAGGGCCTGGGCTTGAAGCTTTATCTAGCTGTGCCTAACTCAGTCTCACTCAGCCCAATAGCATTGCATTTGCTAATGAGGTTGCTTAAAAGAAGTTAAAACTAAACAAAAATTGTGCATGATTAATCCAGATAAAAAACATACGATGTAGCTAGACACAAATTTCTCAAATTGAGAGAAATAATAGAGGGAATGAGATGGGTTTAGAAATACATATTTATGCATCTTTTGTACATTTATATATATATATATAGGCGGTATTTGAATTGAAAATTTGAAAGTTCAGATGCTAACTATTATCTGTGGGGAAGACACATAGTAAGGTGGGTCAAATGGGGCCTCCGTAAACCACAAGAATGACCATAAGGCAGATTTAGCGAGCATTTTATTACAAATGAATGTAATTGTTTTCATTTGTTTCTGAAATTTTCACGTAAGAGAAAGAATAGAAGAAAAGTTTTTTTCTTGAACACTGTCTGTTGTGAAAAGGAAATATAAATTGGTTTCGTATAAAAAACAATGGGTTTAACTATGATACCAGAAAGACATGTAATACGAGAAAAACTTATAACCAATCAGGTGGGTTTTCATTAAGATTCATGATGATTTTGATTGGTCAAATCCTTTCCGATTTCATGAATTTCCGTATGAAAAGGGTTCTGATTGGTTTTCATCAAGATTATTTTACTCTAGTACGATTCAACATTCTTGGGGCAAGTTTCATCTTAGCAGTTAAACCATTAGCATGCTGCTAAAGTAATGATTTGGCAAAGCAAACCCGATGATGCAGTAATCCAAATTGTTGTTTATCTGATGTCGTTTACACGGTCTATTTTGACTTGCCAAAATGTTTTTTGGACCAAAGTTTGATCGGTGATTATGGGAATTGGGTACCGTATAATGTTTTCGAATAGTCGTTGATTTGGACGGTCCAACCGTTTGGCCTGTGAATCGTTCAGACAACCAATTCTGTTTTACCTCAAACTCGGCCCCTGGTCAAAAAATTGTTGAATTGGCCAATGATTCATTGATTAGGATGAACAGATTATCGATCCCTTCACAACCTGCTCAATGGACGGTCAAACTGTCAACTCAGAAACTGCTAGCTAGAATGATTCTAATTCCGAGTTATTTTTTAAAACATTGATACCATATATGTTTATGCATCTAATATATATGCAAATATAGAAAATCTCTCTCCCTCTCTCATCACCATTCTCTTAAACTGCCACCTCTTCCCTGATTATTACAAGCTCCTAGGGCACTTCCATTCTTCAAAAAAAAAAGTACTTTACTTATTTTTCAATCATCCTCTTTCATTAAACCATCAAAATTACTAAGATTATCTCATAATTTCTGATTTTGGTGTAAGCAACTTAGTTTGCAAAATAAATTGAATTCAATTAGGGATTCCATTCATCTATAAGAACATAACAGAACATGTAAGTGTTGAGAAGGGCACATCTCTGAGATGAGGACACACCCTCATTATAACTGTTCCCCACATTAACTAAAATGAAAGAACAAAAGGCATGTGCTACAAGCTCTTAGCATTGATCTACTCCAAATCTCCAATTCAACATTTTATTATCTAAACCACTAGAATATTGAAGGCATCGCATAATGTAAAAGGAAGCAAGAGAAATATAGTTAATCAAAAGGCAATACAGATGTCTATTATACTAAACTAATCTTCCACATTTCCTTTTTCTGCTTTTGCAGTATTGCAAGCAGATCATGATTTTGTTCATAAAGTAACAAGCACCCCTTAGCATTTCAAACCCAAAAAACCAGGCTCTGATCACAATATTTTTTCAGTTCTGAGCTGCAAATTAAGAGATCATGTGATTGAGCATTCTTATTTTAACATTAATTCTCCACTAACAAAGCTTTCAATACAAATCACATCATCACAATCCCATCCATCCGAGTGAAAACAAGAAAATCCCAAGCAAGAACAAACTTCTTTCCTGTCTAAATTAAGCAAAACCATATCTAGTAAACTTGAAACAAAGCACTAAGATTATCTTCATGAATTATCAATCCTTAGGTAGTAAGAGTAAGTCACAGTGAATAATCACTCAACTCTGTTAATATGGAAGACTCGAGCACAGCTGTAGACTGAACAGAAAGCTTGTAAGGTCATCAACAACAAGAGCATAATAGCTGCCACAAGTGTGAGGAATTGCCATGAACCAAACACATAAGCCTTCATGAACTTCCCAGCTTTAACCTTCCACCTACTACTGTAATACCTGTTTACATCTTCAATCACCTTATCCAAGAGTGGAACTTTCGTTAATCTCACCGACTTACTCATCCCATTCCACAGGTTTGCCACCTCTTCATCACTCTTCAACCGGTTCAAAACAATCCCTCTTTCTCTAAGCAGCTCCACATCCTCCTTAGTGTCTATAATACCATTCATTAACTCAGTGTACCGAGTGAAAACCAATGGTCCTGATGCCGCTGAAGCCTCGTACGCTACTAAATTTCTTAATACTACTTCAGTGTTAACGTCCAAACTAATTGTTGGGAGATAAAATGTAACTGTCTTCTCGTCGAAACTGATGGTTGTGATGTCGCCAGTGGTGAGGGAGAACCGGATTCCAGACTTGTAAAGCTCAGTCACTGAGGGGATTGTGATCTCCTCTATCAATGGAGGTTTGTTGGCATTGTTCGTCGAGCTTGAAGCCCCATTTTCGGGTTTGACATCTTCTTTATCTTGAGTGAAGAAGTAGTACTCAACAGGTTGCTTTAAGATGGAAAATCCAGGAAGACGAGTGATGATTGCCCATGGCAGTTTCAGCACCAGCTTAACAGGTTTTGAAACTAGAGCTTGCTTCAGGTAACGTACTGGGCCTTTGTTTAATTTCGAGAGCAGCTTCCAAATCTCGTCCAGTAGCTGTTTTACATGATTTGATTTCGCGAACGTTTCCTCTTCCCCTCTGTCGTCGGTCGGATTGCTCCCTTGATCATCATCAGCTTCATTGATCTCAGATTGCTGCTCCTCTGACATGGGCACGATCATGTGGTACAGAAAATCTAACAGATGAAAGCGTTCAGAGACATGGATTCGTGGGAAGTTGTCTATCATCTTAAACGGAGATAGCTCTGTGCACAGGCCCGTTAACATCGAAAACAGTACACCGTCGGCAGTTTCTAACGATAAGAACTGGCACTCCAAGATCTTCCTCAGGAGAAACAATGGGATTTGGTTCTCAAGCATCACTATGTCTCTAAGAATGGCGTTATGGGCCGATTTTCTTCCGGCATAGTCGACTAAGTGAGACATCCGAGACGACACTCTGGTCAGGATCTTACCTTCTTTGATGGCATAAATCTGAAGGAATTCAAGCAAGAAGGAAGCATCAACAGCCATCATCCACGCTAGTGTTTCACCGTTGAAATCAAGGTACTTATGGTAGCAAGAGCGGATCCTCGGCTCTAGCTTTGTTAACTGGTCGACGAGATGTTGAAACTTGATGCATTGCAGCTGTTTCTGGGTTCTTTTAGCTGCAGAAAGCTTGTATCTCTCCATCTCGTAGAGCTCCGGACGCCAGTAATGGTATGGACCGAGTGCCACTTGTTGGGGAATGTAGGACTCAGGCTTGCTAGACATCAAGGTCTTGGGGACATTGAAGATGCAGACAGGAGTAGAGCCATTATCGTCTTCGAGCTCTTCGTCGAGCGTTCGACGAATTTGACTCACCCATCGGAGCTCGTCGAAGCTTGGGTTCGAATTCGAGGCCATGGTGACTTGGGCTGTCGACGAGGGCATGTTTGTTTTCTGGAAATTCCTTGGCTTGGTTTGGTTGACGGTTTTGCTTAGAGTTGAGGCATTTATGATTGTAACTTGTTACATATAAATGCACTTCAAATGGAAGGATTATTGCTTTTGTTTTCCAGCCCCGAAAAGCACTTTTCCATTTCTCCAATTTAATGCGTCACTTTCACCTTTTTCTTTTTTTTTTCTTTTTGCAGTAATGTTGGAATATTAGGCTTGGAGCAATCAAGCTATTTGCATAAAATTTCTTAACCGTCCGATCACGACGATTTCATGGTTTGGTATAAAGCGGCTCCAAAGACTAGGGAGATAAGTAGGATTGCAAAAATCGGATTCACATGCATATCTAATAGCGACATAATTCTGTCTCTAATTCATTATTACTAGTTTGGTGGCACGTTTAAGATGTATTGAGAAAGAAAGGAGGGCCGATGTTGAAAGGGTGATTTGATATCCTGAAAAAAGTAAGGCTGTGTTTGGTTGCAATGCAAACAAATTTGTACTGATGCATAACTATGGCAATGCATAGGGTTGTAAGTTGGGCCTGGTTAGGTCGGGTTGAGGCCAACCCTAGCCCTACCCGATGTTCTAAACCCCCAACCCTAACCCTAACCCTAATCTAATCCGATCTTCAACCCGACTTACTCAACCTTAACCCTAACCCTAACTAATTCCTTCAACCCTAACCCAACCCGATGTCAACTTCAGGTTGGGTTGGACTCGGGTTGGGGCCCAACCAACCTTCCCGTGCCTTAAAATCTAGTAGAAAAATAAGTGTTTATTTATCATGAGTTATGACTTATGATAGAATTTTTCTCAAAAATATAAATTCATGAAATCAACAATAATGAAACATAAAATTATGGAAATAAAATCACAAATAACAATTCATAGGATCAAGCAAATAATTTGAATCAATTTGATAAGTCACACATAAAAATTACAAGACAAAAGGAAAAGACAAGTAGTCAAATACCAATGAATAACTTAAAGAAAGGCATGATAGTATGTAGGGGGGCTATACAACTATCATGCATCTAAACAAATCAGTGTATGTTATATATATATGACATGTAGTAGACTAGTAGTCTAGTACTATAGGGGGTCGGGTTCAAGAATTTCAACTCTAGTCTCTACCGTTTAATTCGAGAAAAAACAGCTTATTTTAAGAGCTAAGCCTATGTGGTGTGTTACTACAAATAATTCTCCTGTTTTGGGCTTTTGGTACATCCATTTAGTCACTTACTAGGCTTGTTTGATTCACAGGAATAGAGGTTTCGAATCGGAATTAGAATGGGCTATTCTGATTTCAACTGTTTAGTTGAGCGGAATTAGAATCTTATTCTTATTCATGCTGGAATGACATTCTCTCATTTTAGGGAATAACCATTCCCTACCCCTCTTGGGCATGAAATCCCATTCCTGCTGATTTTAATTTTCATTCCTATTCCTATCTAAATCAAACAGATGGAATAGATCATTCCAATTCTGATTCCGATTCCGATTCCGAAGAATTTTGATTTCAATTCTGGCTGCCAACCAAACGGACCCTTAAGCCCTTTACTCCTTTAGCAGCTCTGAAGTCTTTATAAAGTCTGTCTTTGATTTCATTATGCATCCATGAATTGACTACATAGAAAAAAAGTTAATTTCTTGATTCCAAGCAATTAGGGGTCACGGTCCAACCGGTTTCAGAATATTTTTATTTGATCTAAAGTTTTCAGATCTCTTTGATAATCTTTATTTACACATCCCAAGTCCCAACATGAGGGAAACTAAAATAATTAGAAAGCAGATCATAATTGAGCAGACCTGTAATTAATCGATCAAAAATTCATACAATCACACCATGACACCCAACCTCAGAAAAAATATTCAAACAAGTTTCTTAAACATGGGCTAATTATCAAGCTGCAACTAGCCATGGCAGACTTTTAGGCAAGATCAAGCAACATAATTAACATGGAAAGCACGAGCACAAGAATAGACTGAACAGAAGGCCTGAAGAGTAGTCAACAGCAAGAGAAGAATAGTTGCTACAAGTGTAAGCAACTTCCATGAACCAAACACATACTTTTTCATAAACTTGCTTGCCTTCACCTTCCACCTACCATTGTAATACTTGTTAACATCTTCAATGGTTTTGTCAAGGAACAGAACTCTGGTTAATCTAATAGATTTGCTCATCCCGTTCCACAGTTTAGCAACCTCTCTGTCGCTCTTCAAACGGTTCACTATGATCCCCTTCTCTCTAAGCAACTTCACATCCTCTACTGTGTCGATTATCCCATTCATCAATTCAGTATAACGTGTAAAAACTAATGGCCCTGATGCAGAAGAAGCTTCATATGCAACTAAGTTTCGCATCATAACCTCTGTGTTGACGTCCAAACTGATAGTAGGGAGGTAGAGGGAAGTGGTCTTTTCGTCGAAACCAACAGTTGTGATGTTGCCATTAGTTTTGCAGAAATTTACTCCAGAATTGTGGAGCTCAGATACTGAAGGAATCATAATCTCCTCAACCAGAGGATGTTTCTCGATCTTCTGAGACCTCAAACTTTCATTGTCTGGTTTGATCGTCTCTTTATCTTGATGAGAAACAAAAAATTTGTCGATGGGTTCTTTTATGATGGAAATTCCAGGCAGGTTGGGAATCATCTTCCATGGTAATGCAAATATTAGTTTAATGGGTCTTAAAAGCAGGATTTTCTCAAGCAAACGCACCATGCCTATGTTGAAAGCAGATATCAACTTCCAAATCTCAGACAAGAGCTGTTTAATGTTGCTAGAACTCGAGTCCGATCCTTCTTCAACCTTGGTCTCTTCGTTTTGCTCGTTTTCTTCGCAGTCGAGTACTTCTTGTGGCTCATCGGAGTTGGGAACGATGACACGGTACAAAAGATCAAGCAGGTGTGCATGCTGAGATACTTGGAGAAGAGAGAAATTCTCAGTTTTCAGTGGGGAGAGTTCTTTACACAGACCCATGAGAATGAAAGACAATAAATCATCGGCAACATCTGGTGAAGAGCATTGGAAGCCCAAGATCTTCCTCAATGCAAACATGGGAATTTGATTCTCAAGCATCGTGATGTCTCTGAGAATGGCGTTATGGGCCATTTTCCTTCCTGCACAGTCGACCAAGTGCGTGATGGTTTGCGGATGATAGTAACAGTAAAAAAACAGTAAAATATATAATAGAAAAGAGAAAAAAGAGCTTAGTAGATCGAGAGAAAAATTCTGTAGACGTATTCTGTTGTTTCTCTAGATATCCGAAAAGTACAGAAGAGAGGATTTTATAGTAGACGGAGTGGGTGAAGGTGAACCGACTTACATTGAACGAAGACTGTCATTGACTCACCTTGGGAGCAGAATGACTAACTTTGGAATTACCTGACTTTGAAAAATGCAACGACGCACATTGGAATGTAGCAACTTTAAAGAGAGCTTTACTGTTCTTCGAGAAAACTGATTCAATGATTCTCGGAAATGTGAAGCAACATTCAATACTCCTCCTTGGTGCACATTTCAGCAATTCCAATCATGTCTCGTAACACTTCGAACTTGTCTTTTAGTAGAGCCTTTGTGAATATGTCAGCTAACTATTCATCAGTTTTGCAATGCCTGAGTTCTATTTCTTTGTTTTATTTAGCTCCTCTGATAAAGTGATACTTGATGCCAATATGTTTGGTTCTGCTGTGAAATATGGGATTCTTTGCCACTGCAATAACTGATTTGCTATTGCAGCATATTTCAGTAGCACCAACTTGTGGTTCCCCCATATCATCAAATATCCTTTTGAGCCATATAGCTTGGCTCGTTGTTATTGCTGCTGCAATATATTCTGCTTCAGCTGATGATTGGGCAACTGTTGCTTGCTTCTTTGAAACTCAAGAAAATATCCCTGATCCAATTGTGAAAGCATAGCCAGATGAACTTTTCATGTCATCTACCGAACCTACCCAGCCACTGTTTGTGTAGACAATGAGCTTAGAGTCATGTGTGACTCTATACCAAATTCCATAGCTCTTTATACCTTGTAGTGGCTAAAAGGATTCGAACACACATCTCATTGTAAAAGAAAACGACCATCAAACCATATGGCCTATTATATCAATTCGTTTTGTTTAAGACGTATAACAAATATAAGATAATAAGACCTTCGCCCTACTTCTTTTATGAATTATGAATTAAAAAGTTCTTATTCCAAATAGGCCATTAGCATGTTCACTTCGTGAATTTTCAGGTTAACGTGTAAGTAATTGTAGGGAAATTATTGGAGAGAAACTGGAAAGAAAACTGCCACGTGTGGGTGTGTTCCCTTTTGATTCCAAGCAACCCCCATCTCCAAAAATATTTTTCAGATTTTTTTGAATTTTTGGTAATTTTTAGTGATTAAAAACTAATATCTTTCTCAAAAAATTTATTTTAATTAATTTTATCATTTTTCGATCCTAACTAATGCCACGTGTCAAGTGTAAGACCAATCTAAGCCGTACATCTCAAGATAACCCACCCAGTATGATTTTTCAAAAAAGTGATGTTTCCTCCTACCAGAGTCCCAAAAGCTTAACGTACTCTTTGGGGGGGGGGGGATTCCCCTAGGGGGCGACATTGGTGAGATGCTCGGTTTCCGAATRGATTCCGTTTGATTCGATACCCATTATATACCATTGAAAGGTTCGGATTTGGTGTTTAATAAACGTTGAGCGTGATCCGACTCAATAGATCCAAAATGTTAGTGGGGAATCCGGATCTAAGCATTCGCTTGAAATATACATAATTTTAAGTAAAAGGGCCAACCCAATATAAAATAATTCGAAACATTGTCTCATTTGGCATACTTTTTACTGTTATAAGGCATAGAATTAGAGTTCAAAACTCCAAATATATATGTTATAACTTATTATATAAG